ACATATTTAAACAGACTGGAATTATACTAGAATTAAGTTCGGAGATATCATTAGCATTGTTACTATTTTTTTAAATCAGTGTTGTACAGCACGCATGTTTTGGTTTTTGTTGAATAATAAAAAGCCTGTTCTGACGAAATGGAAGCACAAAAATTAACATTTTATTTGGCTATGCAAAAATAGTAGACCCTCTTTTATATTCTGGGAAAAAAATATTGACACGTATTTTGTGAATGAATTAGGTACCCCAACACGTATAATTTTTCCAAAGACAGCACTAAATACAGGTTACACACTTTTGTAAAAATGAACTGAAATTTTGTAATTCATTTAAATCAGCTTCGCTTGAGTTATGAAGTCTGACATTTTTAATAATTATAATCCAGTCCATTGGGCGACTGACTACTTTTTGTTTTTCAGAGGTTTCATGACCCTGAGAGTACAAGTACGAGTTTTGAGATTTTTAAGACTTTTGATTTTTAAATTTGTCGATTTTTCATCCAGTTTTTCAATTTCCCTATTTTCAATTTTTTTGATTACTCAATTTCTCGATTTTTCAAATTTTCGATTTCTCGATTTTTTATTTTTTGATTTCTCAATTTTGGGATATTCAGTTTTAGGAATTTCCAATTTTTTGATTCTTCAGTTTCCCAATTTTTTAATTTTCCGATTTTTCTATCATTTCAATTTTAGCTTTTCGATTCTTCAATTTTTCCATTTTTTAATTTTTCGATTTTTCTATAATTTCAATTTTTGCATTTATAAATTTTTGAACACATTTTAATTTCTATATTTTTCGACTTCTCGACTTCAATTTTTCGATTTTTATAGGTTTTTGATTTTTCAATTTTTTGGTTTTTAAATTTTTCCATGTTTCAATCTTTCGATTTCTCGCTTTTTCAATTTTTCAAGTTTTAATTTTTCGATTTTTGGACTACTCGGCTTCAATTTTTTGATTTTTCAATTTATCGAAAAGTTTCGATGTTTTGATTTTTCGATTTCTCGATCTTCCAATTTTTCTATATCTCAGTTTTTCGATGTTTCAGTTTTGGGATTTTTTTTCAATTTTTCTTCGATTATTCAATTTTTCAGTTTTGGAATTTCTCAAATTTTCGATTCTTCAATTTTCTGATTTCTTAAATTTTAGATTTTTTGATTTCTTGATTATTTCTAGTTTTTTAATTTTTCAGATTCCCGAATTTTCAATTTTTCGTCTTTTAAATTTTTACATTTTTCCGTTTTTCAATTTCTCGGTTTTCAAGTTTTTCAAATTTCCAAATTTTAATTTTTCGATTTATTTGATTCTGCGCTGTTTAAACTTCTTGGCTTCAATTTTTTGATTTTTCAATTTTGCAGTTTTTGGTTGCCCAATTTTTCGAGATTTATCGATTTTTTTATTGCTCTATCTACCAGTTTTTCGATATTTCAATTTTGGTTTTTCTTCGATTTTTCAATATTTCTTCGTTTATTTAATTTTTCAGTTTTGGGATTTTTTAATTTTTTGATTTCTTAAATTTTCTTAAGATTTCTTGATTTCTGGTTTTTTAATTTTTCAGATTTTCGGTTTTTCAATTTGTCGCATGTAAAATTTTTCCATTTTTCAATTTTTCGATTTTTTAAATTAAAATTTTTCTAATTTTCAAATTTTAATTTTCCTATTTTTTGATTCTGCGCTATTTCAACTAGTCAATTTTTCAATTTTTGGTTGCTCAATTTTTCGAGATTTTTCGATTTTTTGATTGATATATTCCAGTTTTTCTCCATTTTTTTTCGGTTTTTCAATATTTCTTCGTTTATTCAATTTTTCAGTCTTGGAATTTTTTACTTTTTTGATTTCTTAAATTTTAGATTTTGCGATTTCTTGATTTCTTGTTTTTTGATTTCCCAAATGTCGATTTTTCATTTAAATTTTACATTTTTCGATTTCTCGCTTTTCCATTTTTTTTTTTTAATTTAAATTTTGCAAATTTTCATTGTTCGATTTTGGGCTATTTTGACTTCTCGATTTTTCAATTTTTCGACTTCCCGACCTCAATTTTTTGATTTTTCAATTTTTCTGGTTTTCGATTTTTCAATTTTTCCAGGTTTTTCAATTTCTCGATGTTTCAATTTTTCTATATCTCAGTTTTTCGATATTTCAATTTTGGATTTTTTTTTGATTTTTTGCAATTATTCAATTTTTCAGTTTTGGGATTTTTCAATTTTTTGAATTCTTAAATTTTAGATTTTTGGATTTCTTCATTTCTGGTTTTTGATTTTTCAGATTTTCGGTTTTTAAATTTTACAGTTTTCGATTTTTCGGTTTATAAATTTTTCAATTTTTAGACTTCTCGTCTTCAATTTTTTGATTTTTCAATTTTTTGATGTTCCCATTTTAGGATTTTTGTTTTTCGATTTTTCAATTTTTCTTCGATTATTCAATTTTTCAGTTTTCGGATTTTTCAGTATGTCGAGTCTTTAATTTTTGATTTTTTAAATTTTAGACTGCGATTTCCTGATTTCTGGTTGTTTGAATTTTCTGATTTTAAATTTTTCAATCTTTCGTTTTTTAAATTTTAAATTTTTCGATTTCTCAATTTTTCAATTTTTTTTAATTTACATTTTTCAATTTTTCAAATTTTAATTTTTTGATTTTTCGATTTTGGGCTATTTTGATTTCTCGATTTTTCAATTTTTCAATCTATCGTTTTTTAAATTTTAAAATTTTTTGCTTTCAATTTTTCGGTTTTTAAATTTCTCGTTTTTTCAATTTTTTAATTGCTTGCTTTTTCGATTTTTTTTTAAATTTCAATTTTTCAGATTTTAATTGTCGATTTTTTGACTTTCGGCTATTTCGATTTCTCTATTTTTCGATTTATTTACTTTAATTTTTTGATTTTTTAATTTTTCAGGTTTTTGATTTTTCAATTTTTCGATTTCTCGATCTTCAAATTTTTCTATATTCGATATTTGTCTCGATTTTTCAATTTTTCGTCAATTATTATTATTATTATTTGGCATTTTTCAATTTTTTTATCCTTCAATTTTTTCTTGTTTTTTGATTTTTCAGATTTTCAGTTTTTCAATCTTTAGATTTTTAAATTTTTCAATTTTTCAATATTTTGATATCTCGTTGTAAAATTTTTTTTTAAACATATTTTTCGATTTTTCGATTTTGGACTATTTCGATTTCTCCATTTCTCAATTTTTCGACTTCTCGACTTCAAATTTTCAGGTTTTTGATTTTTCAATTTTTCAAAATTTTTCGATTTTTCGAATTCTCGATCTTCCAATATTTCTATATCTCAATTTTTCAATATTTCAGTTTTGGATTTTTTCTGCTTTCCGATTTTTCAATTTTGCTTCGGTTATTAAATTTTTCAGCTTTCGGATTTTTCAATTTTTCGATTCTTCAATTTTTTCATTTTTCAATTTCTTGATTTCTGTTTTTCGATTTTTCAGGTTTTCGAAATTTTTCAGTTTTTCAATATTGCGATTTCCTTTTTTCGATTTTTTTAAATTTAGATTTTTGCAATTTTACAAAGTTTAATTTTTTTATTTTTCGATTTTGGGCTATTTCGATTACTCGATTTATCAATTTTTCGACTTTTCTACTTCAATTTTTTGATTTTTAAAATTTTCAGATTTTTGATTTTTTAATTTTTTGAGATTTTTCGATTTCTCGATCTTCCAATTTTTCTATATCTCAGTTTTTCAATGGTTTAGTTTTGGAGTTTTCCGTTTTTCGATTTTTCAATTTTTATTGGATTATTCAATTTTTCAGTTTTGGGATTTTTCAATTTTTCGATTCTTCAATTTTTTGATTTCCCAAATTTTAGATTTTGCGATTTCTTGATTTCTGGTTTTTAGATTTTTCAGATTTTCAATTTTTCAATCGTTCCTTCTTTAAATTTTACATTTTACGATTTCTCAATTTTTCAATTTTAAGATTTTTCGATTTTTCATTTTTTTTTAAATTTAATTTTTTCAATTTTTCAAATTTGAATTTTTCCATTTTGGGCTACTTCAATTTCTTAATTTTTCGATTTCTCGATATTTTGATGCTTTGATTTCTCGATGTTTCAATTTTCCAATTGCTCGACGTTTCAATTTTTCCGTGTCTCGGTTTTTCAGTGTTCAAAATTTTTCGATTTCTCGACTTCTGGACCTTCGATTTCTGGATTTCTGAATCTTTGATGTTTCAAATTTTCAATATTCCCATGTTTCGGTTTCTGGGTTGTTCGATTTTTCTACTTTTCGGCTTTTCGATTTTTCAAAATTTCAATTTTGGAAATTTCGAATTTTTGATTTTGGGACTTTCGATATTTTCCCTATATTTCGATTGTTTGATTTTTCGGTTTTTCGATTTTTATATTCTCCATTTTCGGGTTTCCTGTTTCTCAAATTTTCGTTTTTTTCGATATTCGAATTTCCAGTTTGATTCAATTTTTCAAATTTTCCATTCTTTTTTTAATTTCTCGAGTTCTCGATTTTTCTATTATTCAGTTTTCGATTTTTTGACTTTCCAGAAGATTGTTCTTAGTGTAGCGAAAAATCGAATACAAATATTAATTATATCTAAACTGAAGATTAATGGGAATCGGAAAAACAAAAATTGAAAACGAAATATTTAGAATTAAATCCACACTCTATTCCACAAATTAAGAGATCACGAGATCATTAAACGACCACCATTATAAATTTAAACGACCACCATTATAAATTGAAAACTACAAAAATAAACCCAAGAGAAAAATCGGAACGGAAACATAAATCATAAACCTTCTCTGGAAAAAAACCCAAAACCCGACTATAACTCCTCGTACATACATTTCCACGATCCACCTTGCGCCCTCTGACCCATTTCCTCCAAAACCGCCCCTCCGCAATCCGCGCCCATTTACTTACCCTTGATAATAACAACAAGAATGAATATTTTACACGTACACCCTCATTACAATTTCAATACTCCGGTCGAATCCGCCGCAAACCCACCGTTTCACCCTTAACTTAACGCAAACATGTTTAAATTAAAGAATAACAACCCTGCGAGCCATTTTCGTAACAGGTAAGTGCTCTGGAATGAGCACGATTTAATTATTTAGTCCTCTTTTCAGGCTTCTGGGACCCGGCTTGGTCTACCTCGGCCTGACGTCTTTCACCGCGTTTTTGCTCGTCAGCGTGTGGAACCGGTTCGTCGACAACCCGACAGTGACGTCACTGGAGAGCTCGGTCTTCCCGGTCACCAGAGTGCCCTATCCCGGAGTTTCCTTCTGCAACCTGAACAAAATCAGCAAGAAGAGGGCTGCGAGTTTGGCGGATTACATGTAAATTGAAGCGGAGAGGTGGGAGGGATTTTAGGGGGTTTGTTGTAGAGTGGAGAAGACGGGGGAGAAGCGGGAGAAGGTCATGGGGTATATTAGGTTTTTGGGGTTCTTGTATGATGCGGATTATAACGTGGGGAGTAAGAGGCACATTGAGGAGTTTCAGGGGATTTTGGATGGGTTGAAGCTGAAGATCAAGGATTTGATGAGGAGTGTAAGTTGGGGGGTTGGTAGGACTGTAAATTGTCATTTGTCTTATTCGTATACTGATTACTGAGTCGACTTGTAATTACTAATGTTTGAGAAATGTCTACTTTAGTTGATGACGCCTTGTGAGGAATTTCTTCAGATTTGTCTATGGGGAGGTGTTGAAGTTAATTGTTCGAAGATTTTCCACATGAGGCTGACGTTTGAAGGTTATTGTTGTACTTTCAACTACATCAAGAATGCGAGCGATTTGTGGGAGGAGCATCGACATCCCGCCAAATTAGGTGAGCGACGTTTTATTTAACAACCATTTTTTTGAGGTTATGGAAAGTTAAATTGAGCAGATTGTAAAATTGTATTACTATACAAATATGTATAGTGTAATTTTATCAGTGATGGCAACTTGACGGCATTTACTTTAATAAGCTCACGTTGTTTCATTGAAATTTTACGGGAACTTATGTTATTCCTCGACTGAGGATTTTAAAGGCTTAAATTAAACCACTTGCGGGGTTTGTGCATAATTAATTGTCATGCTTGGGATTAGTGAAACGTGAGCTATGACAATAAGCGGGCTGTGTAGTTGGATTAATTTAGGGAAATCTGGGGGAAAATGTGAGGTATTGTTGCTGTAGTAACCACTCGGAAAAATTAAAGGTTAAAGGTGTAATGAGATCAATTAAGTTAATTTTGTTTTACACACAAGGGGTTATTTTCACTCGCAAAATTTAACTGGATTATCGAGTATGCGTGTATTTTTAAAAGATAAATTATTTTGTTTAAAAGATTTTTTTTACTTTTTGAGCCTAAGCTGGCTAGTTTTATATTTCCTGGACGTTCATGACTCGTAGAGTACGACTACGCGTTTCTGTCTGTCTGTCTGTCTGTCTGTTTGCTGTCTGTCCGAATTTATTAATCTTATCATTTTTCGAAACATCTGCATTTATTCATTTTTTTGATATCACAATTTTCCCCTTTTCAACTTATAAATGTTTACAATTTTTCAATTTCTCGATTTCCAATTTGTTCAATTTTTGGTTTCCTTCATTTTTCAATTTTTTTATTTTTATTTTTTCTCGCATTCAATTTTTCAAATTTTCAATCTCTGATTTTCAATTCCCCGATATTTCAATTTTTAAGTTTTTCAATTTTGCAATTTTTGGATTTTTCAATTAACCGACTTTCCGATTTTTTTTATTTTCGAATTTTCGATTTTATAACACCTCGTTTTTTCGATTTTGTACTCTTTCGATTTTTAAGTTTCTTAATTTTTAATTTTTCGACTTTTCAATTTTTCTTTTGGTCAATTTTTGAAGTTCTTATTTTTTATTTTTCATTATCCTTATTTTTTTTATTTTCATTTTATTTTATATAACAATTATATCTTTTTTAATTTTCCTTATTATTTCAATGTTTCATTCGATTTTATAAGTTTTCGTGTTCAATTTTTTAAATTTCCAATCTTTGATTTTTCAATTCGTGGATTTTCCCATTTTTAAGTTTTTCAGTTTAGCGATTTTTGGATTTCTCAATTATCCGACTTTCCGTTTTTTTTATTTTCAAAATTTCGCTTTACATCTCGTTTTTTCGATTTTGAACTTTTTCAGTTTTTAATTTTTCATTTCCTCAATTTTTAAGTTTTTGATTTTTATTTTTCATTTTCGCTATTTTTTAATTTTCATTTTATTTTATATCACAATTATTCGTTTTTTATTTCCTTTATTTTTTCAATGTTTCTTTCGGTTTTATAAGTTTTGTGCTAAATTTTTCAAATTTTTAATCTTTGATTTTTCAATTCCCCGATTTTCCAATTTTTAGGTTTTTCAATTTTGCAATTTTCGAGTTTCTCAATTATCCGACTTTCCGATTTTTTTCATTTTTGAAATTTCGATTTTATATCGCGTTTTTTCGATTTTGTACTTTTCAATTTTTCATTTCCACAATTTTTCAAGTTTTTGATTTTTATTTTTATTATATCTGTTTTTAATTTGCGTTTTTTTTTAATATCACAATGATTCGTTTTTTTTTATTTTCTTTATGTTTCTTTCGATTTTATAAGTTTTCGTGTTCAATTTTTCAAATTTTCAATGCTCGATTTTTCAATTCCTCGATTTTCCAATTTTTAAGTTTTTCAGTTTTTAATTTTACGACTTTTCAATTTTTCGTTTATCTTCAAATCAAGTATTTGATTTTTATGTTCCATTTTCCCGCTTTTTTAATTTTCATTTCCTTTCATATCACAATTTTTCGTTTTTTCATTTCCTTTATTTTTTCAATGTTTCCTTCGAATTTACAATTTTTCATTTATTCAATTTTTCAAATTTTCTATGTTTGGTTTTTCGAGTCCTCGATTTCCCGATTTTTGCCTTTCCCAATTTTTTGATTTTCCGATTTCTTTAATTTTCAATATTTCGATTTTACAATACATATTTCATTTTTTGATTTTTAAGTTTCCGAATTTTTAATTTTTCAATTTTTCAATAATTCGCTCCTTCAATTTTTCAAGTTTTCGATTTCCAGTTTTTCGATTTTTCAAAGTTTTCATTTTACTTTTTCGTTTTTTCAGTTATAACTACAATTTTGCAACTTGAAGAATTGAAGAATTGAAAAATCGAAAAACTAAAATATCAGGAAAAAACGAAAAATTGCAAAACTGAAAAAACGAAAAATTGCAAAATCGAAAAATTGCAAATAGAAGAACTGAGGAAAACAAAAACTGAACATTGAAAAACTAAAAATCGAAACAAAAATTAATGAATCGAAAAATTGGATAGAAGAAAAAATTAATCGAATCGAAAATTTTGAAAACGCAAAAATTTTAAAATCTAAAAATTAATTAAAATTGTGAATTTGAAAAACTTTAACATTGGAAGACCAAAAAATTCAAAAATTATATATCGAGAAACTCAAAATAAACAAATCAAAAATTTAAAAATCGAAAAATTGAAAAATCAAATAAATGAAAATTTAAATAAATGAAAATGTTCTAAAATCGAATAACTGAAAAATTGAATAATTATAAAATCGTAAATTTAGAAAAAAAGTGAAAAAAATTTAAATTATAATTATTATTACTTATTTTTCACATGAAAACTAGAAATATTGCAAATCGAAAATTGAAGAAACGAAAAATTGAAAAGTCGGGAAACAGAAAAATCTAAAATTGGAATAACGAAAAATTAAAAAATCTAAAGGTTGAAATACCGAAAAATGGAAAAAATAAAGAAAATAAAAAACCGAAACAAAAAATTGCAAATTTAAGAATTGAATAAAAAAAAATTGAAAAAACGGAAAATTGATCAATTGAAAAAAGAAAAATTACAAATTGAAAGATTAAAAATTGAAAAATTAATAATTGAAAAATTAAAAACTGAAAAATTAAAAGTTGAAAAATTAAAAAGTGAAACACTAAAAATTGAAAAATTAAAAGTCGAAAAATTGAGAACTGAAAAATTGAAAATCGGAAAATTGAAGAAATTGAATTTGAAAAAACAACAAATTATTTTTCGTCCTTTTCGTCCTTTTTCGCCCTTTTCGTTATTTTTCATCCTTCTCCTTTTTGTCCTTTTTCGTTCATATTATCCTTTTTTGTCCTTTTCGTCCTTCTTCGTCCTCTTTCGTTCTTTTTCGTCCTTTGCGTCCTTTTTCGTCCTTTGCGTCCTTTTCATCCTTTTTCGTCCTCTTCGTCCTTTTTCTTTCTTTTTTGTCCTTTTCGTCCTTTTTAGTTCTTTTTCGTCCTTTTCGTTCTTTTTAGCCCTTTTCGTCCTTTTTAAATAATAAATTCGGAACATTTACAAATTGAAAATTTGGAGAAATGTAAAATGAAAGAATAAAAAAATTGGAAAATTGTAAATTCAAAAATTAAAAATTGGAAATTAAAAATTTAAAGTTAAAAATTGGTAAATTAAAAATTGAAAAATTAAGAATTGGAAAATTAAAAATTCAAAAATTAAAAACTGAAAAATTTAAGAAATGAAAAATTAAAAATTGGAGACTGTGAAATTATAAATCGAAAAATTGCAAAGTTTAAAAATTGCAATATCCAAAAGTTGAAAAATCCAAAAACAGAACAATTTTACAAATCATAAAATTGAAGAAACAAAAAAAAAAGAAAAATTGAAAAATTCCAAACCGAAAAATAGAGAAAACAACAAATTATAAATTCGGAGCATGGAAAAATCGAAAAATTGTAAAAATAAGGAAAACAAAAAACCGAAACAAAAAATTGCAAATCGAAAATTTGAAGAATCTAAAAACTGAAAAATAAAAAATTTTAAACTAGAAATTCTATATCGAAAAATTGCAAAATCTAAAAATTGGAAAATTCAAAAGTTGGTAATTTAAAAACCCGAAAAATTTATCCTTGAAAACTCGAGAAATGTAAATCGAAAAACTGAAGAAACAAAAAATAATAATAATTGAAGAATTGGTAAGTCAGCAATATTTCTTTTGTAACTTCTAGAATTTAAATTACAACTAAAACTTACAAATTGAAAAAATAAAAATTCAAAAATCAAAAATTGAAAAAGTGAAAAAATTTCAAAAATTATAATTACATGTTTTTAAAATGAAAACTAGAAAAATTGCAAATCGAAAATTGAAGAATTGAAAAACTGAAATTGGATTATCGAAAAATTAAAAAATCAATATAGAAAAAAGAAGAATTATAAACTCAAAACATTGAAAAACCGAAAGATTGAAAAAATAAAGAAAATAAAAAATCGAAACAAAAAATTGCAAATTTAAGAATTGAAAAAAAATTGAAAAAACAGAAAATTGATTAATTGAAAAAAGGAAAATTACAAATTAAAGATTAAAAATTAAAAAACTAAAAATTGAAAAATTAAGAACTGAAAAATTAAAAGTTGAAAAATTAAAAATTGAAAAATTAAAAGTGGAAAAATTGAGAATTGAAAAATTGAAAATCGGAAAATTGAGGAAATTGAAATTGAAAAAACAACAAATTATTTTTTGTTCTTTTTCGTCCTTTTTCGTCCTTTTCGTCCTTTTCGTTCTTTTTCGTCCTTCTCGTCCTTTTCGCCCTTTTCGTCCTTTTCGTCCTTTTTCGTCTATATTATCCTTTTTCGTTCTTATTATCCTTTTTCGTCCTTTTTCGTCCTTTTCGTCTTTTTTCGTCCTTTTCGTCCTTCTTCGTTCTTTTCGTCCTTTTTCGTCCTCTTCGTCCTTTTTCGTACTTTTCGTCCTTTTCGTCCTTTTTCGTCCTTATTATCCCTTTTCGTCCTTCTCGTTCTTTTGCATCCTTTTCGTTCTTTTTGTCCTTTTTCGTCCTTTCGTTTTTTTTCGTCCTTCTCGTCCTTTTCGTCCTTCTCTTCCTTTTCGTCCTGTTTCGTCCTTTTCGTCCTTTTTCGTCCTTTTTTTTCGTTTTTGTCCTTTTCGTCCTTTTTCGTTCTTTTTAAATAATAAATTCGGAACATTTAAAAATCGAAAAACTAAAGAAAATAAAAAAACGGAACGAAACAGTGCAAATCGAAAATTTGGAGAAATGTAAAATTAAACAATAAAAAAATTGGAAAATTGTAAATTCAAAAATTAAAAATTGAAAATTAAAATTTGGAAAATTAAAAATTGGAAGATTAAAAATTCGAAAATTAAAAATTGAAAAATTTAAGAAATGAAAAATTAAAAGTTGAAAAATTAATAAATGAAAAATTAAAAATTGGAGACTCGTGAAATTATAAATCGAAAAATTGCAAAATTTAAAAATTGCAATATCCAAAAGTTGGAAAATCCAAAAAACGGAACAATCTTACAAATCATAAAATTGAAGAAACAAAAAAAGAAGAAAAATTGAAAAATTGCAAACCGAAAAATAGAGAAAACAACAAATTATAAATTCGGAACATGGAAAAATCGAAAAATTGTAAAAATAAGGAAAACAAAAAACCGAAACAAAAAATTGCAAATCGAAAATTTGAAGACTCTAAAAACTGAAAAATAAAAAATTGAAAACTAGAGAAATTCTATATCGAAAAAGTGCAAAATCTAAAAATTGGAAAATTCAAAAGTTGGGGATTTAAAAACCCGAAAACTGCAGAAACAAAAAAAAATAATTGAAGAATTATCATTTTGACAGGTGAAAACGGTGGTGAAGACCTCGTTCCTAAATTTTCATAAACTTTAAAAACACGCGATGCACACCCCACAAGAGTCTTAGTACGACAGACGATGTACATAGTAACTAGGGCGGAGCTTTGGCGCCTAATCAAAAAGCGACTTTCTTAAGCGGGCGGAGCTCCAGCCGCACTAATCCTATCCTCGCCCAACTACAACTACATCTCGCCTTTTCAGCCCCCGCCCACGGCACCCCCGGCATGAAAAACGGCCTCTCCGTCACCATCAACAACGACCCCGACGACTACTTCTACACCACTCTCTCATCCTCCGGAGTTAACGTTAGTCCCCACCCCCTCATTAACACCCACTTTACTCCGCCCCTAGGTGCACGTCTTCATCCCCACCGACTACCCGGACAAGTCCAGCGGCAACTTGATGGAAAGCCTAGCCGACATCGGGTCAGAAAACTTCATCGAAGTTATTCCCACCACCGTACGAGCGATGAAGGAGGTGATGAACTACAACGTCGTCAAAGTAAATCAACCCTTAAACCGCAACCCCCAACTAAGTTGCCTGTTGTAGAGAAACTGCCTGTTCGAAGTCGAGCAGATCACGCAGTTCGGGGTGTACTCTCAAAGCGACTGTTTTGTGGACTGTAGGGTTAGGAGTATGATGACGCTTTGTGAGTGCATCCCTTTTACCATCCCTTTTACTGATGACTCGACTGTTTGCACTCTGCTGGATCTGCCATGCTTGAGCAAATATCAAAGTAGGTGTGAGGGCGGCGGAGGAGGAAAGGTGATGTAATCATCCGTCTGGAAGTGACAGCTGTCATTTCGGATTAAAATTAATCTGTTGGATTAGGAGTATAATTTGTACGCAGTTCTAACACAAAAAGGGAAAAAATTGACGATTAAAAAAGTATTTCGTGGAGGGTATATAATTTGTATTTAATTGTTTGAGAACTGCTGGAGTGTAAGTTTCCGTTTGTTTGTCTGTCAACGACTGTCTGTCTAAATAAAATGAGGTTATATCAAAATTTTAGAAAGTAAATTTGTGATACATATGAGTTGTACAAATCGCAATAAAATATTAAGTAGATAATTTTAGGAAAATGGACAGCTTTGGTCCCCGATCATGTAGACGGGTACACTTTCAAAGAACAGGAAGATGGTCTCTTCTGCACCGAAACGTGTTATCCTTCTTGCGAGGCCACGCTCTACGAAATTACCACTTCATCTGTCAGACTCTTCGAGTAAAATACCACACATTTGAGGTTATGCTACTTTATGCTGGCACTACTGTTTTAGTTCCGCGGGGAATTACACGTCGATTCATATTTTCTACGGAAACAGATTCCACAGTTTGTATCAGCAAGACGTAGTGCACTATTGGTTTGACATACTAAGTTCGTACTTATATCACAAACCGATTTTTGTTGCTGAGTGATTTGTGTTTCAGGCAGTGTTGGTGGTATCTTTGGCATTGTTATGGGTTTGAGTATTTTGTCGATTGTGGAGGGAGTGATTTATATGATAAAGTTGGTAGTTGCGAAATGGTGACCTTAGTATTGATTTCTGTTAAATTTTAATTGTATGGTGTCAGGGGGATGTGGGAATGTTGGCACCAGGGTGAAAACCTGTAAAATAATTTGTTTACTGGTGATGGTGGATTGATAATGAAACCATTTTCGCTTTCATACAAAAAATAGATTTTTATACGAATGGTGTCATGACATTGACACATAAGTAAATGATTTAATGACGATAAATATGTGTGAAGCAATTCGCAGTTTGTTTCTATTAAAAATAAAACTTTACATTTTGCAATCTTCTTTCATTGCGTTGTTTTTTGTGTGTTTGTATCGTAAGTGTCCACACTTGTGAAATTATGATTAGTACTTTGCACACTGTAAGTCGTCTGGAAAGTACTGAAATTTAAAGTTAAAAAAAATGATGTTGGCAACAATGACGCATCATTATTTTAAAAATAAATTTCAGCGCCTACTATAGTAGTTAGAACTTGCATCCTACCTTCAAAAATTTTCCTTGTGTAAATGTGACTGTTGCAAGATGTCATCGATCATTTTAACGTTTTTTTCCTTTCTCCGAAACTACTGGACTGATTGTTGTCAAATTTAGTGTATATACTAGGACTTTCATGTAGATGGTAAAATGCCAATAAAAATTGTGTAATCATCCCCACCAACAATTTGATGACGTCATCTCCAAAATTTACAGCAGTAAATTAGCTTTTATTTTTATAAAATAAGATATTCCTGCACTTGTGGTCTATGAATCCGTCTTGAGTTTTCACTCTAGACATCCAGGTTTTTGGATTTTTTAAATATACCTTTAAAAACAAGATAGCATCCTAAAAAGTTGTGTTTTGAAGGGGTCCTCCTAGTAGTTTCTTTCGATTTTATAATTTTTCGTTTATTCAATTTTTAAAATTTTTAAATTTTGCAATTTTTGGTTTTTCGATTTTCCGATTTCTTTAATTTTCAATATTTCGTTTTCCCAATTTAGTTTTTTCGATTTTGCATTTTTTCGATTTTTAACTTTCTCATTTCTTGATATTTCAATTTTTCATTTCTTTAATTTTTCAAGTTCTTGATTTCCAGTTTTTGGATTTTTCAGTTTTGATTTTATACTTCTTCGTTTTTTCATTTTTGATTTTGCAATTCTACAATTTGGTAATTTTTCCGTTTTTTGATTCGAAAAATTAAAAATCGAGAAACTTTAAAATAAAAAAAAATGAATCGAAAAATTGGAAACAAAAAACGAATTGAATAGAAAAATTGCAAAACCCAAAAATTGTAAAATCGAAAAAGTATAGAACTGTCAAAAATGTAGTCGAAAAACTGTGATTTTGAAAGAAAAATTAATATTAAAAGTCGAAAAATTGAAAAATCGAATAAGTAATTGAAAAACTTTTAAAATCTAGTAATTGAAATTTGTAAAAACTCAAAAATCGTAAAATTGGAAGTGAAAATTTTAAAAAATCCTAATTATTACTACATATTTAAGATGAATTCTAGAAAAAATGCAAATTAAAAATTAGAGAAACCAAAAAATTGAAAAATTTCACATTGAGAAAAAGAAAACATCGAAAAACTAAGAAAACAAAAAACCGAAACGAAGAAATGCAAATCGAAAAATTGAAGAAATGAAAAATCGAGAAATTGAAAACCGAAAAATTACAAATCGAAAAGTGGAAAATGGAAAAATTTTATCTCGAAGAAACGAAGAAACGAAAAAAAAAGGAATAAAAAAATTGGAAAGAAGAAAAATTACAGAATCGTCGAAATTCCAAAGTCTTCGTTGGAAAGAAGAAAAAATTGGTCTAAAGAGTTTAGACAGTACTTCCCTCGCTGTCGGAAACTTGACGACTGCATGCCTATTGTGTTTTTTTTCTCATTACATTTTTGTAGTGGGAATTTAAAAAAAAATTGCGATGACGTCATCAACATTTTTGCAAGGACACGTATATCAGTTGGGATAGATGTAGTGTAATACTAAGAATAAAATTATTATATTCTCAAATTTTCGGGAAAATGAATTGGGTCGTTTGAATATTGATTTGTAATAATCAATAAAATAACGAAACAATTTACTCACGTATACCTACGTATCAGAGGCAACTGAAAATCGTGTATGTATAAACATTGTTAATTTAAGATGACAGGCGTAACAGCATACGTGAGAGCCAAACACAGAAACTGTAAACAAAACGACCGTCGGTTTTATTGCTTCGACTTCCGGTTATTATATAAAACATTGGGTTTTATTTTAATTCTTGACGGTGAAATTCACAATTGGTTGATTATAAACATGTCTATTTCACATTCGCGGAATCAAGTGAACGCATAAAACAAATGCAGGTCTGTAATGTTAAAGTCGATGTAAATAAGCGTGCTACCCTTATGTTTCAACCGAGTTTTTCCTTTAACAAATTTTGTGTCTACCAAATTGGGTTGGTTGGGGTGTAATACTAATAATAAGTGTTGCCTTTAATTTAATCAATAAAATAAATTGACTTCATTAATTTTTTTGAACCACCTCTTAAGAAAATCTAAAAAATATGAATGGAATGATAAATCACAAGTACAAACTCATCATATTTTTTGCATTTTAGATAGGATTTATTCAGCAAAATTTAAGGGTGACGTCATCATTTTTTTTAGGAGGGATGAACAAATACATTTTGAACAAAAGTTTACCATGCTTATAATAACTTTAAAATATTCCCAAGATTTCAAAGCATTCGGTTTTGTAATTCCTGATTAAATCGATAAAATAAATTCACGCCTTCATTAATTTTTTTGAGTCACCCTGCATATGCAAATCCAAAAATATGAATGGAATGATAAATCACAAGTACAGACTCATCATATTTTGTACATTTTAGATACGATTTATTCGGAAAATTTTTGAGCTGACGTCATCAGTTTTTTGTAGAAGATAACCAAATATATTTTGACTAAAAATTTATTATGCTCTTTATAACCTTAAAACATCTGCAAGATTTCAAAGCATTCGGTTTTGTAGTTCCTGATTAAATCAATAAAATAAATTTACGCATTCATTAATTTTTTTGAGTCACACTGTATATGCAAATCCAAAAAATATGAATGGAGTGATAAATGACAAATACAGGCTCATCATATTTTGTACATTTTAGATATGATTTATTCGGCAAACTTTCGAGCTGACGTCATCAAGTTTTTGGAGGGGATAAGCAAATATATTTTGACTAAACATTTATTATGCTCTTTATGACCTTAAAACATCTGCAAGATTTCAGAGCATTCGGTTTTGTAGTTCCTGATTAAATCAATAAAATATATTTACGCATTCATTAATTTTTTTGAGTCACCCTGTATATGCAAATCCAAAAAATATTAATGGAGTGATAGTTCACAAGTACAGACTCATCATATTTTGTACATTTTAGATATGATTTATTCCACAAACTTTTGAGCTGACGTCATCAAGTTTTTGGAGGGGATAAGCAAATATTTTTTGACTAAAGATTTATGATGCTCTTTATAGCCTTAAAACATCTGCAACATTTCAAAGCATTCTGGTTAGCAGATTAAAAATTAAATTTCAAAATGTTGTTTTATAATTTTGATTTTTTTTCCAAAAATCTGGACTTTTCGGGTGAAAAGTCGATTCAGAGTTGTAAACTACATGTGTAGGACTATGTTATTTTATACAATTGAAAACCCATTTACTATGTACAATTTTGAAGTGACGTCATCGCTTTAGTGGTGGGGATGATTCGACAAATTTTGGTTAGCGTTTTACCATCTACATGATATTCTTAATATAAGTACAAAATTTCACAACAATCGGTCGAGTACTTTCGGAGATTATCTGTCTAATAAAAATCCGTGACAACAGACGGACAGACGGACAGACGGACGGACAGACGGACAGACGGACAGACGGACAGACGGACAGACGGACAGACAGACGGAAATGGGAGACCTATTTCTTCGTCCTCTAGGGGTCATGAAAGATCGAGAAAACGTAAAAGTAGAGAGTCGGCCGACGGACTCGATTACAATACTTCCTTTGCTTACGCTCGGGAAGTAAAAAGGAATCGAATCGAACTAGGAACACACAAAAATTGTAAAAACGAAAAATCATAGACTCGTCAAAATTCCAAAGTCGAAAAACTAACATTGAAAAATCGAAAAATTTGAAAAATTAAATATAGAGAAACTGAAAAATTAAAAATCGAAAAATTATGGACAATTGAAAAGTCAACTAAATTAAAAAGTTCTAAAATCCAACAAATTCAATAACTGAAAAATGGAAAAATTCTAAAATCGTAAAATTTTAAAAAATGAAAATGTTTAAAAATCCTAATTATTATATATCAATAATTCAAAAATCATGAACGTGAAAAATCTAAAATTGAAAAACTAAGGAAACAAAGAACTGAAACGAATAAATACAAATCGAAAAATTGAAGAAATGAAAAATTGAAAAATTGAGAAATTGAAAACCGAAAAATTACAAATCGAAAATTTGGAAAACGAGAAAATTTCAAATCGAAGAACTGAAAAACGAAAAATTGAAACATTGAACAACCAAAAATTGAGAAACTTAAAACGAAAAAAAATAGCTAATCAAAAAATTGGAAAGAAGAAAAATTATAGAATCGTCAAAATTCTAAAGTCGAAAAACTAACATTGAAATACCGAAAAATTTGAAAATTCAAATATGGAGAAACTGAAAAATTAAAAATCGAAAAATTACGGACAATTGAAAAGTCAAATAAATTAAAAAGTTCTAAAATCCAATAACTGAAAAATGGAAAAATTCTACAATCGTACAATTTTAAAAAAGGAAAATTTTTAAAAAACCTAATTATTACTACTCATTCAAGAACTAGAAAAAATGCAAATCAAAAATTGAAGAAACGAAAAATTGAAAAATCATGAAAGTGAAAAATCTTCTAAAATTGAAAAACTTTAAGAAAATAAAGAACTGAAACGAAGAAATGGAAATCGAAAAGTTGAACAAACGAAAAATTGAAAAATCGAGAAATTGAAAACCGAAAAATTACAAATCGGAAAATTGAAAAGTCAAAAAATTAAAAAAAACGAAAAATTACAAAATCGAAAATTTGGAAAACGAGAAAATTTCAAATCGAAGAACTGAAAAACGAAAAATTGAAACATTGAAAAACCAAAAATTGAGAAACTTAAAACGAAAAAAAAATAGGGAATCAAAAAATTGGAAA